GAACTTGACTTGACTTTCACCTACTGGCGTGTGATGCCTCTACTACTCCACTGATATACTGCACCTGTGTGGGATGTGCTTAACCATACTCCCTCCGTCACCATGTGGTCCATCCTTTGCTGCTACTGCACATAAAAGTACTCTCATTGAATGGTTAAATTTTCAAATTCTCGCTCTTTTATAATATTCTTTACTATGTATAAAACTATAGTATAAAAGAAAATATTTCATAATACTTAAATGTAAATAATTACTTAAATGTAAGTTAAATAGTCTTTTGATAGTGAAACATTCGCCCTACCTGTTGACCAGGAAATTTAATGTCTTATAATGGTGGGGTACTACTAGTAAGTTATCTTTAAGAAAAACGTAAAACCGTCAATCAATCTCCAAAAACAATAAGAAAATAATTTCCGCATAATAGCTTCTGAAGTTGGTTACGAATAACTAATCGGTCAGTAAGACAAAGTTGAAGAATTAGAAATTATTTTTTACTCTTTATTTTTTAAGCCAGTTTCACTTCTTTTACGTTTAATTATTTACTCTTTAAAGTGGATTAAAAAGAAATTTCACAAGTTTAAGGTAGCAACTAGAATCTCAGAAATTATTCTATACTTTTTGCTTTTAAAGCGAGTTTCACTTTTTTTATGTTTTAACCCTTTAAAGTGGATTAAAAGAAATTTCACAAGTTCAAGATAGCAACTAGAATCTCAGAAATTATTCTATACTTTTTGCTTTTAAAGCCAGTTTCACTTTTTTTATGTTTAAACCCTTTAAAGTGGAATAAAAAGAAATTTCACAAGTTCAAGGTAGCAACTAGAATCTCAGAAATTATTCTATACTTTTTGCTTTTAAAGCCAGTTTCACTTCTTTTACGTTTAATTATTTACTCTTTAAAGTGGGTTAAAAAGAAATTTCACAAGTTCAAGGTAGCAACTAGAATCTCAGAAATTATTCTATACTTTTTGCTTTTAAAGCCAGTTTCACTTTTTTATGTTTAAACCTTTTAAAGTGGATTGATTAAAAAGAAATTTCACAAGTTCAAGGTAACAACTAGGTTTAGGCTTAACTAATTTTTAAGCGGTAGAGTCACGCTGCCACTACAATATGGATGTACCCCTAATGGGTCACCTCGATTGGGGAAGGACCACTCTCTCACAGAATAACAGCGTAAAATAACAACATAATGCAACTGTGTTTCGAATAGTGAGTGTTGAAAATCTAAGACTCTTTTTACTGGAAACTAGGCATTCTATCTTAGTCCTCAGTGGTGACAGCGTATCTGCATTTTGATATTTTTTTTTATAGGAGAGGGGGCAAACGAGCATGCGGCTCACCTGATGGTAAGTGACTACCGCCGCCCATGAACAACCGCAACACCAGGGGAATTGCAGATGCGTTGCCGGCCTTTTAAAAAGGAGTAGGCTCTTTTCTTGAAGGTCCCTAAGTCGTATCGGTCCGGAAAAATCGCTGGTGGTAAACTATTCCACAAGGAAGTTGTGCGAGGAAGAAAACATCTTCTAAATCGCACAGTGGTGGACCGCCAATCATCCAGATGGTGTGGATGGTATCGGGAGTTCTGCCGCGATGTGCGTTCGTGAAATTTGGCGGCTGGGATTAATCCGAACAATTCCTCACAGCACTCCCCATGGTAAATGCGAAAGAAAATGCTAAGAGATGCAACATCTCTTCGCAGTGCCAATGAGTCGAGCCGATCGGAAAGGACTCGGTCGTCGACGATTCGAGCCGCTCTGCGCTGGATGCGGTCAAGTGGAAGGAGCTGGCACTGGGGAGCCCCAGCCCAGAGATGGGAACAGTATTCCATATGAGGCCGAACCTGCGCCTTGTAAAGTTGCAGGCGTTGAGCCGGCATGAAATACTGTCCCGCTCTACTGAGCACGCCAAGCTTTTTAGAGGCCAATTTGGCCTTCTCTTCCAAGTGACCACGAAACTGCACGTTACTCGATATGTCGACGCCGAGGATTCCGATACTGGCTGAGGCAAGAAGGGGAGTGCCTTGAAACTGAGGAGATACGACAAAGGGGTTCTTTTTAGCGGTAAACGCGCAAACTTGTGTCTTCTGAGGATTAAACTGGACTAGATTTAGTCGCCCCCAATCCGAGACTTTGTCCAGCAAAGACTCGACTTCAGACACAAGTTTGTTCCGGTACTCGGTGACGTTTTCCCGAGAAATATTGGCACGGCCAGTGTATAGAGCATCACCAGTGCTGTCATCCGCATAGCAATGAATGCTACCGGCTTGCAACATATCATTGATATGCAGAAGAAACAGCGTTGGTGATAGCACGCAGCCTTGTGGAACACCAGCGTTAATAGGCTTGTAGTCGGAGCATGCACCGTCTACAACGACCTTGATGCTCCGATCTGCAAGAAAGCTGGTGATCCAATTGCATAATTTCTCGGGAAGCCCATAGGAAGGGAGCTTCGAAAGAAGCGCTTTGTGCCAAACCCGATCGAAGGCCTTCGCAATGTCCAAACTAACGGCCAATGCCTCCCCCTTGGACTCTACTGCCTCCGCCCATCTATGAGTTAAGTAGACCAGAAGATCACCAGCTGATCCACCCCGACGAAAACCGTACTGGTGGTCACTAATCAGCTGGTGATCCTCAAGGTACCGCATGAGGTGGCAGTTTATAACGGATTCCATTATTTTGGAGAACAAGGGGGTTATGGCGATAGGCCTGTAGTTGGACGGGTCTGAGCGGTCGCCTTTTTTAGGGATCGGGTGGACAAAAGCTGTCTTCCATGATTTCGGGACTACGCCTAGGGAGTAGGAGTACCGGAAAAGACGCGTTAGAACCGGTGCCAACTCCGGAGCACACGTCCTCAGCACAATTGGGGGGATTCCGTCAGGCCCACTCGACTTGTGGATGTCAAGGGTGAGGAGTGCTCTGCGAACCGAGCGCTGTGAGAACCGCACATCCGGCATAGAGCACTCACACCGCGAGATGGTCGGCGGTGTGTTCCCCCCGTCATCAACAGTCGAGTTGGACGCAAAAAGGGAGCCTAAAAGGTCGGCCTTCTCTTTTGCGTCATGGGCCAGTGAGTCGTCCTCCCTGTGCAGAGATGGTAGTGATGGCTTACAGAAATTCCCTTGGACAGCCTTGGCGAGAGACCAGAATGCACGGGTTCCCGAAGGAAGGCGAACTAGTTTCTCGCCAATTCTGCCTATGTGCTCTGACTTTGCCTTGGCAATAACTCTTTTGAAGGACCTGTAGGCGAAGTTATACTTCTTTTTAAGTATGCTGGTGTTTACATCCCGAGTCGCCGAAGCCGCAGCCCAGGCTTGATAACACTCCTGTTTACTGCGTAAAGCAGTCTTACAGGAGCGACCAAACCAAGGCTGAGATCTGCCTCCGATGGGTACCACAGATGATGGAATAAATAGTTCCATTCCCTGTAGCACCACATCAGTGACAGAGTCAGCAACAGCGCTGGGATCAACCGGCAAGAAGCAAACCCGCCCCCATGGGTAGGAAGCAAAGAAAGACCGCATTCCGTCCCAATCCGCCGACCTGTAATGCCAAACACGGCGGCAACCTGCAGAAGGCAACCGCGAGGGGAGCGTGAGTGGCACCACACTCCGGATCAGACAATGGTCCGAAGAGCCAAGAGGGGCATCGACGGAAACCTGATATCCGTCCGGATGAGAGGTCAGCAGAAGGTCCAACAGGGAAGATGTATGATCCTCAACATCTGGAATCCGCGTAGGCGATGTAACTAGTTGTGTCAGACCATATGCCAAGGCAAAGTCATAAACAGATCTCCCCGCATGATCGGTTAAACGTGAACCGAGCCATTCGGCGTGGTGGGCGTTAAAATCGCCAAGGATCACGATCTCTGCGGATGGGACCTGTTGTAGCAAGGAATCTGTAGCCATTTGGACGTGGTCAATGAGTCGGTCTGTTTCAGCATTACCGCTATGGGACCTATAGAGGCACCCGTAGACGCGCGGATGGTCGTCGCTGTCCACGCGTAGCCAAAGGATGGACAGGTCCGAACCTTCAAGACTGCCGAGGCGTCGAGAACAGATGTCCTCTCTAACATACACGCAAACCCCAGCCCGAGGCACAAAGGAGTGCTCCAATTTGTACCCCGGGCAGGAGAGATACGAAGTATCAGCCGGAGAGGACACCTGCGTCTCGGTCAGAAAGAGCAAGGCCGGCTTCGCCGTCTCAAGATGGTAGTGGACGGCGTTTATGTTCGAGTGAAGTCCCCTGATGTTGCAGAAATTCACGGATAGCGTGGCAGGGGTCGCCTTGGTCTTGTTGCTCAGTTTGCCCCGAGCAGTTATTGTGTTGAGCGGAATTTTGCCCCCCCCCCCCCCCCCTCCCCCCCAGAATACGCGGGGCAGCCTGAGCACCCACGCTCAGGAGTAGAATAGCATGGTCGTGGATGCTCAGCGAGGGATTCTCCAGGGGTACTGGTACCCTCCTGGGGTAGTTTTTGACGTAATTCCGCTACCATGTTGATGGGAGGGGGGGGGGGAATTGGGCCTCCGGTCACCTGCACTCACCAGACGAAACGCGGAAACAGAGCTTCCACTTCACGCCGGTATCCTGTGAGGTCGTGGTACTAACCCGGCTCGAGCCGTACCATACGTGCAACAGCAAAAACTGCTGCGTGGCTCTACCACCGTATGTATTTATTTAATCGAGGATAGATGTAGATGTCTGGGCTTCAGCATCCACTTACCAACAGGTGGACTGTGTGCTTGTTTGTTATCCTTATGGTGTAAAAAATTATTGGTGATTCTAGTGGGACTTAAAGTTACCATGTAAATACTAAATACAACTAAACTCAATCAAATACAAGTCAGTACAAAAATTGTATTACAGGATGTTTCTTAAGAATAATTAATTAGGGTTGTCAACACCACACATTTTTAATACATTATATGGCTTTAATTTGTAACAGGTGAAACATTGTAATTGAAAGAAAGATAAGTATTTAATACTCTGACTTGGCATTTTTTACAGTCAATCTTCAAAGTACCTGGGACACTGTCCAACTCAACAATAATAAAGCTACGAGCTCGTTTCGCAAAACAACGCCGAGAACAACAACAAAAAGAACCACCTCGATGAACAAATTACCAATGAGAACAAGACACTTTTGATCTCTTTTTTTTTTTCAAAATATTACCAAATTGATATATGTCACTAACAACTACTTACGTAGATTTATTTTTAAAAATATTTGCTGTTTATAACACTCCACAATCCATAACATGTACATAGTATTATGTAATTTATTTGATTTATAATATAGTTTATTAAGAAAAGTGCGAGATCAGTTGAATGAAGCCGATACACATGCTTCAAAATACAAGTTATTTAATGAAAAAGAATATTAGCAGTGCTCTCTTAACACTACTATTCTTGTTAACCATCCAATTAAGCCGATATGTTTGGCTTGGTGTGGGTCACGACAGTAGTCGAATGGCGGAATCGAACCCACGGCTTTTCAGTTTCGCTGTCCGTAACCTAAATTATATGCTACTGTCGCTTTTATTATGTTTGTTATAGTAAAGTTTAGCCGAAATGGTATTATCCTATTTAAGTTAATTAAAGAATTTGTGGCTATTCATCGATTATATCACATTTCTTTTTAATATAAAATGTACATGAAGTAAATTAGTATGGAATTGTAATAAATATGCATTTCATATGTTCAAACACAATTGTGTAGATTGAAATCAAAATTAGGATATGCTATCCTAATTTTTTTTTTGCATCAATTTACTACTACTTGTGTTAGTAAATGACTGTAATAAGTACATACTATATTGTATTTTAAAGTTGTTTAATTATGAGTATTTGGTACAAAGTCAGCTAGTCCTTCCGCCTTTTGTACACAGTTTACCATTATTTATAATATTTCTACTTTAAACTGATTTTTGTTTGATTCTGTTAACAAAATCGTAACTATCATTGTTTACATAATTCTAAGTTTAGAGTTTAAGTTATTTATATATTGGTTTGGGATGTTCTTTTTATTTTGAACTTCATATTATTTAAATATCAGATTGCCGTGAAACATAATGGTAATACAAAAGGAAGATGGTTAATTCACGACAGGCTTTGGAAAAAACTAAATTACTAATTTTAAAAACGACAACATATTCTTAAAATGTCCAATTCGATAAAGGACTGATTCTTAAAATGGCTCATTTTATAAAGGATCAATTCTGACAAAGACTTATTCCTAATGGGTTATTATTCACGAAATGCCTAAATCTGCTTTAAGTAGGAAAATATGAATAGGAACAAAAATAAATAGTGCTGTATTTCATGTCTGTGCGCGCGCTCGTTTTTACTAGTTTTCGACTGGTTTTCCACTGTTTTCAACCGACTTCAAAAAGGAGGAGGTTTGCAATTCGTCGAAATCTTTTTTTTTTATGTATGTACACCGATTACTCGAAGACGCCTGAAATGATTTAGATTTTTTTATCAAATATACTTCCCAGGTGGAGCCGTTTAAATTTTATCGAAATCGGTTGAGCGGTTTAAAAAAATAAACAATAAATTATATTTATATTGACTTCGGTTGTACAATTTTTTTTTTAATTTTACCACTGTATCGTCGCTCAATTTTTAAGTGACTTATTAAGTTTGACTTATTATACAGGTTTAAGTACTGAGGTTCCATGGGCAATATTCGACATAACACTTCTTTGTCTGTACACCGAAATTTTCAGATTTTTTAATCATAGTTGCTGCAGAAATCTGTAGCATTTTAATATTTACCATGGTTTTAGTTAAATCCATCAAATTAAAGAATGTGTTAATAATCTGTTTATTCCCATTACACCTGGAAATATATCTCTACCTCTGTAACTCATTTAGAGAGAAGGCATTTCAAGAATTAGTCTTTTGTAGGATTAATAATTTAGCGGAATGGCTATTTCCAATCTATGTAGTCCAGTCGTCATTTATTTTGTTATGATACTGGCTGTGCCTAGCATGCTCACCACAGCTTCGTTGTAATCGGTTGAATGGTATAGTAATGCATATATTCATTTTTATATCATCATCACAGCCTATCAAATCCAAGCAAACAGAAATTGCTTCGTAGGGGGATATTTGCGATAGTTGCCATGCTCGGCAGGCGAGTTGCCAACAAGGAAGATGCTGCTGCCTATCTCCTGTTTCATTACGCTCTGTTGCATTTACGATGCCTTCGGGATGATGTGGGTAGTGGTTTCTCCAGTGCCGCCACTACACTATCTCATTTTCATATAGTAGATCATCTTGTCCTATAGTTGACTATGGAAAATGCTAGAAAGATGATTTTATGAACACTAATTGGTGCAAGTATATCTCGTGTATATGAGATATAAAATACCCAGATCTGCAATGGGAATCCGCGCCAAATGTGTGATTGCTGCAATCAGCTGCATCATCTGCATGCCAAGTATGGTCGGCCAATCCTCCCTACTAAGGAAGAGGCTCGATCCTGATCTAACGAAATGGAAGAGGAAGCTATAGACATAACAGGACTAAAACTTAGTTGTGGTTTTGACAATAAATTTGTTTCATAAAAATAGATCTTGTTTTAAGGGATCATAATACGTAATCTTGATTTTAATCCAACAAAATTTAATTTAATAAATAATTTTATCTCGCTTAATGAAATAGCTTGAACAATTTGTTAAAAAGGTTTATGTTTGCAGTATTGTAACTGCACTTCGAAGTAATCAAAATGTAAACTGTATTTTTGCTATCTGAATGAATGCATAATCTATACGTCACTACACTCTGTTATAAAATATTTAAATGGGAAAGTTGTATTTTTAATTTTAGCAATTAATAATTGTTTTATTATTTTATACTAAATCTTTTTATAATTATCTTTCACTGTCATGATATTTAAAAAAAAAACTGCAATAGTTGTACTTTATGTATTGGCAGGAGTCAAATTACAAAAGATTTCAATTAGGCTGGTGGGTCTGTCGCCAAGGTAATTCAAATTTAATTTAATTAAATATAGAATCCCAAGCAGATGGGCTACCATGCGTGCTAACCCATTCACCTTCTCTATATTAGGATGTTTTTTGATTTCAATAGCCTCTCAACTCGCTGATCATCCTTGGTGGGAATCAAATTTTATAAAAATTAAATTCAAACCCAATGGTCCGAGAGCTCATGACTCATTTTCATGAAGTGTTTAATGCAACATGAAACTTTGTTGAAAAGCAACATGAAACTTTGTTGAAAAGTATCAGTCAACTCAATAAGCGGGTTAACTTTTTGCATGACGTACGATACACCTGGTACTAATTTGTCGCAAAAAAATTCGTCAAAAAAAGTGTGTCAAATAATAATAATAACTATCCGTCAGTTAAGTTAAAGAATTAAGAAAAAAAAAGGGCGGACACTTCTGAAGGGATTGACATAGAGGCAAAGTACCCTAAAGTTGTATTTTAAAAAGTTCCAAAAAAGTGTTTTATTTAATGTATCATTTTTAGAGCGTGTTTATTAAAAAATTCTCACTAAAGAGCAGACAGTTTCTCCGGGGGTTAATAATTTAAAAATATTCAAATAAATTTTGCGTGGACCGGAGACAAATATGCTACGGGTCGTAATAAGTTCGACAGAGAGCGACGATTGATCATATACCCTTAGTCATTCCTCGCGCTCCCATTGGCTGCGGATCACGATCTCGTACAGCTGTACCGGCAGGATAGTATTTACTCAATAAATCAAACACTTTTTTTGGGCGAATTTTATTGCGACTTGCCTGTATGCGCAGTACCAGGTGTACCCAGGTAGGCCAGGCAATCAGTCAAATAACTGCTTATTGAGTGGACTGATTCTATTCAACAAAGTTTCATGATGAATCAAACACTTCATTAAAAATGAGTCATGAGTTCTCGGACCACAAGTATACCACTATAAGACTTCAAGATACTGTAAGCTTGTTTTGCGTAGATCAGACCAAAAATTAAAATTTAAAAACTGAAGGTAGCCGGGCTAACTATGACATCGGGACGTCAAACAACTCAGCTTCGCCACCCACCCCACCCCTCTCGCCCCATTAGATTTACCCATACTCTCTATATTTCCCAGTTAGTTAAAATTTTGTTGTAATGGAATGTGATTTGGAATCTAGTGTTTGACAATAATATTTACATATTATATTTTTATTCTTCGCTAGTAAGTGGTTTAATCAATGGTCAAACGTGGTAGAGCCATGCTGCAGCTATATTAGTAGTATAGTTGTAGCACGAATGGGTCGGCTCGACCGGGGAAGGGCCACGCTCTTACAGAATACCAGCGTAAAATAGCAGCTTAACGCTGCTGTGTTTCGTATGGTGAGTGTAGAGAACCGGAGACCCTTTTTACTGGAAAAGAGGCATTCCATCTTAGTCCTCACGGGCGACAACACATCTGCATTTTGATTCGCAAACGAGGATAGATGTAGATGTCTATGGGCCACAGCAACCACTTACCATCAGGTGGACTGTGTGTTCGGTTGTCACCCTATCCTATAAAAAAAAAGTGTAGAAATGAAGTTGAAAAATTTTATACATTTGATGCTTATCACAACTTATATAATATTAAAAAAAAGTTTTATATATATACTAGCTTCTGCCCGAGACTTCGTACGCGGATCCTGTTGCTTATGCCAGCGACAACGGGGTCGGCAAAATCGAAGATCTGAAACGTCTGATGTTGAATTCTAAGAGCCCGGGGACGGGAAAACAACGTGATTCGCGAGACGATTCGAGACGTTCTAGATCTTTCATTTTTGTAAGTCAACAGAAAATGCCCATCAAACTAAACAACTTTTGCTAAGACGTCATTCCTATATATGTTATAGTGTCGCTGGGCTTTGGATGGAGTGTAACTCCTTGTGTGTTATTAAGTTATATATTGGTAATATTGTTTAGATCACGTTCACATGAGGCTTAAGTACTTATAGAACAAAAATACTTAGCGCAAAGCTTCCGGGTAAACTATGTTGAAAGTTGACCCGTCCGGCACGTGAACATAAAGATTTCTAGAACTGCTAACCCGGGAAAAAGCGACGTACAACTGACCATGCGAAAAACAACTGACACCGATATCTACTCCAGCAACAT